CCTACCGCTTAAGAGTAGACGAAGCTAATAAACGCTTTCTATTAGGTGTACGAAAGGTAATGCAAGGGTTTTTCGTTATCATATACCCGTTTATAAGCGGATATCTGTATTGAAATGAATTGGTTTTTAAATTTGACCTACCTTTTAAAAGGGTTTAAGAGAATGCAACGAATAACATATCATTTAACCGCTTTTGAATCCTATAAAAGCTTTTATAACAGGTATTTTAGGTTGGTGAACCGTTTTTTTTGTACTGTTTTTACGGGCCAATCATAGGGTTTAGCACATTCTGATAAATGGTATAAAAGAGTATCTTATCTGTTGGATCCTAATAAACGTTTTAAAGGTTTATCATTCTACTTTTTTTTGGTGTAGAAACCTACACCTACACCCACACCCGCACACGCTCACATCAGCAGAACTAAAAGTAGATTGGAAAAATACGAAAAACATTAACTAACAAGAAAAAGAGCATCTCCAACAAAATGCACAATATCTGTACAAATGAGGTTTTAAATGATAAAATAAGCCATAATAACATAAGGAACATATAAAAACAGAAAACAATCAACTCTAATATGATTTTATTCGTCTTACTTTTAGATAGATATTAGCAGAAAACTCTCAATAATGTCCATTCTACACAAGTATGATCGCCGGCATTGTATTCATGATTTAGAATTCGATAGCCTAATTCCCATAATTGAGAAAACATTTTCTGGTGTAGTATTGCATGGTATATGTCACGGTTCCACCAATGTGACTCGAAAGATATTTGATAAGGTAAACTTGTTCCATTTGCACGACATAATAGGTCAGCAAAAACTGAATATTCTCCTCCTTCAATATCCATCTTAAGAATATGAACTTCTTCATGCTTATTTTCTTTCAATATTTTATCAAAACTCTTGAAAAGTAATGCGTTGTTAAATATTTGACTTTTTGGCTTTGAATTATGAGGATACATAAATTTTTGCAAATTTGATGCATCGCCTAAACAAATTTGATGAAAAGTCAATCGATCTATCGGTGCTCCTGGTGATGGACTCGTGCAATCATATGTATGAATTGCACAAGATGTTTGCTTGAGCAAGGCAAATTCAAAATTGAAATTATTGTAAGAACCCAAGCTATATACGACACAATTATTAAGTGGCTTCAAAATTTCCACCCCACATAATATTTTGTTACCATCATCAACTCCACCAATACGGGTCAGGTTATTTTTATAGGGACAAGGCAATGGCAGTGATGAAGGATACGCAAGATGAACCATACTTCCACCCCAATCTCCAATTTGAAGCGCGTACTTGCTCAAAATTTGATATGTAAGCAGTAGTTGACTGCGTTTCCATGAGATCCATTGAAGTTCTAAGTCAAGTATTACATTTTGATTATAAGGTTTTAAAAATGGATTAGCAGTGCACCATCGAAGATTCGGTGACAAAACTGATTGCAGATGATCAGAAGAATCAATAAATGCAGGTTTACGTTCGATATCAATAATGCTTTTATTTTTCCATATCATGAGTGGAATATTAAGATTTTTAAATATAATACTTGTCAATAATAGGATCAGAAATCCGTTAATTATGACTACATTGACTAAAAAGCTTCTATAACGAACAAAACCTAACTTTCTGGTACATATTGAACAATTTAATTGCATTGTTTCACTTGCAGTTGGTATATTTTTATAACAGGTCTAAAAATTATAAGATTTTACAGTATGTGATCGAAACTGTCATCAATTATAAATGAATTTATGAGCAAAGAAACAAATTATAGAAACTTCTTTCGTTTATTTTGCTCAAGCAAAAAAACGGGTTGGCGATAGAGAAGCACAGTCGGTAAAAAGAATAGCATGGACTTAAATAATAGAATTATGAACGCTGAAATCTTTCGTGAGCATATCTTAATGAAAAGCTACATAAGATGTGATCATGCTTGTTGAGCGTTTCACATCTATATACTTCAGAAAGTTATTATATTCATTTCCGAATTTCAACAGGCTTTATCCAAAATGATCATAAACGGGAAACATTTAACTAGAAATTACCAAATTTTTTCTAATACTCATAAGAAAGGACCAGGGACAGTTTGTATACAAATCGGCCCTAAATGAAAATTGCTTCAGAAAACAGTTCGATCGTGTGAGCTATGCTTCTCCCTTTAGCGCGAACCACTCTCGATGCACATGAGCAATTTTCATGAAGACCATATAGTACATTCTATCCTATTTCCTCGTAGTCCTTTTGAGGACAGATTTCAACCCATGATGGTCCGTTGTACTACTCATCAACCCGAAGGTAATTCGCGTAAAAAAAGCGATATATATTGAGGATAGACACATCTTTCCAAGAGCTACAAATTGATGGCAACATATGTAAGAAAATATGTTGTGCTCGATATTTTCTGAAGACTACATTGGTACAATCCTGTGAGGAAGGCTCCTGATCTAGCGGCTTTGTCCATGGGATCTCCACTATGGTTCATAGAACCAGTGGTATTTTTACAGGGTGAAGAGAAATTTTGACGAGCTACAAATTGATGGCAACCTATGTAGGAGAATATGCTGTGCTAGGTGTTTTTCCAAGACCACACTGGTAAAATCGTATGAGGAATGCTCTCATATAGAAGTGCTGTGCATAAAATCTCGACTATAGTTCATAGAATGGGTACCAATTTCTTAGGATAAAGAGAATTTTTCTAGAACTGCAAAAGCGATGAGTAAATAAGAATGACAACTGATTCTGCTCGTAGAGGAATCAAAAAGTTCGAAATGTAAGTGTCCGATATTGTCATCGGCTGAGATTTGGCAGATATTATTGCCCTAACTCGAGCGACGATTCAGCAAAGTTGTAAAACCCATGAAAGTAAAAACCTGTGTTGTCGACGACTTCATGATGGACTTCTTTTCCGGTTTGCTCGAGTCGTAGGCGACTGCAAGGGATGGTGGATGAGCCGAGTATGGTGCATTCTTTTGGTAAGCTTGCGAAGTTATATATGATAAGCAGTTTACTGATATACAAAGAAAATGTATACATATGTGTATATACATAAGAAGAGATTGGGAAAATGCCCTATACGAAGTAAGATAACATAGTGGGAAAATTCCTACATATCACGTTGAGAAAAATCCTATATAAGAAAATGTGGATATTTTCAACACTTGTGAATGTTCGTAAACTCATCACCTGAACGATGGTGATGCTCATCTTTCTTTCGTTGGAGAGAATACATGCATGTATTGTGACTGACATTAGTATATAGGATGATGCGACTTATTTTCGGAGTGTTTGCCTCTTAGGATGTAGTATAATATTACCCAGTCAGGCAAAATCAATAAAAAAACACGTAAAAAGGGGCCTAAAATAAACGCGTTCCGATTCATTAAAACCGCACATTTAAACGCGTTAGCAACGCTATATAAACTTACAGACAGTTTTTACGGTGTCAGACACTTTAACCCGTTAAAACATGAGGTTTTCACGACTTCTTTTGTTTCAAGTCAGAGCTTTGAATGGATCAGCTCATGAGTTAATATGAATTGAAGGTCTTTTGAGAATTACTGTGCGACAGTAGGAGATAAAACATTTTCTTTATGAGACTGTGAGATGATTGCAGTGCTTTTTTACTGAAAATATATGATTTAGCATAGTCTGTTTCATTCAATAGTGAGTTTTCTGTTTCGAAAATCTTTTACATATATTAATAGACATGTGTCAAAAGATTTCGAAAAAGAA